TCTTGTCAACTTTTTGCACAAGATGGCCTCCAACCACGATTCTCCTGAGCATCAGCTGCAGCTGTATCTCTAGCGGGGGTGACAAGCGCCATACCCCCACTGTGCTCCACCTGTCATTAAACTGTGAAGGAAAGAATGAAGAGAGAGAGGCAGAGAGAAAGAGATACAGCTGTGCGTTTGCCATTTAAAATCTCTGGCAACTCAAGGGAGCCCAGTGGCTGCGAGTACCTAAGATCTCAGAGCAGAGCTGTGACTCCCCAGGAGACCACAGGTGTTTATCTGACCTGGCCCATACTGGAAAGTGTAGGCACACCAACACTGCCTACGTCTCAGCAGGTGGCTGCCTCTGGTGGGCAGCCCCCATAAAAAGAGACCGCTCTGCACACAGAACCCTTCCATCTTGCCGAGGGTTCAAGGTGAAGCCTAAGAACCAGCTCCCTGGCCACCAGCCTTTTAATGAAGTGCCCACATCCATGCTCCAGAGTTCATTAAATCCTCCTGCTGGGTGTCACTGCCACCCCTTGATGTTTGACAAAGCCTGCTCGCTTAGAGACATCGAACGGTACAAAATGAGGCTTCCCAGAAGCTTGGAGATGCCATGGCTCCTGCATGGTGCCCTGTGCCTCTGATAGCACAGCCCCCGCTCGCATGGGCAACTCGCCTCCTAGCACCCCAGCTGCAGGAGAGAGGGCCGAGGGAGGGGCCGGCATTTCCTGGTCCCCGTCCTTGACATGGTCTAAATCAAGAGTGTGACCTCACCCAGAGGAGGCCTCCGGGGCTTGCAGGTGTCCGACACAGGGCCCGTGGGCTCACAGGTGCACAGGTGGTATGCTGAGCAGGACCGTGAGGGCACCACGGCCTGGCTTGAAGAGAGGCCACCAGAGAAACGAGGCTCCCATGGTGTAAATTACCCAAATAATGATGTGAGGATTATAAAGCAGCTCCTAGCTGCTGTTTAACCATTGCTGGAACTTTGAAGATACATTTGTGTGTGTGTGCGTGCATGTGTGTGTGTGTGTGTGTGTGTGTGTGTGTGTATGCACGCATGCATGTGCGTGTGCATGTGTGCGCGCGCGTGTGTGTATGTGTGTGTGTATTTTTCTGGCAGTCCTGGGGTTTGAACTCAAGGCCTCACAGTTGTTCCCGAAGCTCTCTATTGCTCAAGCCGTTGAGTTAGTTTTTAGGAAGGCTCTCACACTTTTTCCAGGGTTGGCCTGGGACTGTGTTCTCCCACCTCCACTCTGCTCCCCAGAGGCCATCTTCCCTGGGCGGTTCGGGGCCTCATCCTGCAGTCAGCCCTTCAGTCCTCCTACTTGCAGTCAGGCACTGGATCCGGCTCTGGACTCAGATGTACCCGAGACAGTTGTGTATGGAGGCATCTGTTCTGATTAGGCCCAGCCCAAGTGTGCCTACCGAGTCTAACCCTTCAATCACAGGGCCCTTTGGAGCCCGTCCTTTTCCTTCCCTGTCCCTCCCACCTGCCACCTTTCCACGAATTGCTCACTTTAGGCACACAGGGGCAGCTGCAGCAGAACTGTCAGTCTTACCTACCTTCACGGGAATGAGCTGGCTTCCCAGAGTGCATGCATGCGCACACATGCACACACACACAGCATGTTGCTCCTTTAGTTTTATACACTGTCATTTCTAAAGTTACTTCTGTTGCCACCTTCCCCCAACCTTCCTATTTTACACCCTGACATCCTTCCCTGACACTCTGAAGTCCATCCTGGGATCCCACAACTTTTCACATTTTTTTTTTTTTTACTTTTGCATACTTGCAGCTGTGCTCTGCATTCTGAAGCTCTTTGGGTTTTGACACATGCTTAAGTCTTGTATTTTCCATTATAGTATCATAAAGAATCACTTCCCCTGTGGTTCACCTCTCCAGCCCTCCTCTTATTATGAACTCCTGGCATCCATGACCCTTAACTGTTTTTATAGTTTTACTTTTGAAGCTTGTCGTGGAATCAGAATCAGAATGTACTGAATCTTCACAGTAGCTTCTTTCACCTAGTGATTTACATCTGACATCCATTCAAATCTTGTGGCTGCACAGCTAATTTCTTTATTACTGAATAATATTCTATTGTATGGTTGTGCTAGTTTGTTGACCCATTCTTACCATAAAAGGAAATATTGGTTTATTCCAGCTTTTGTTGATTATGGATAAAGCTGCAGGTTTTATTTCATAGTTTTGGGATACAGACAAGTGCTATTACTACCTGTTTTCCTTTACTTATTTTTGGGGCCCTGCACTTAAAAGAAAGGTGTTATCATTTGATCCACACCCTTGTCTGCTTATATGCCTGGCAGTATTCCTTGGCTTTTTGGCTCAAGGCTGCTGGCACTCTACCACTTGAGCCACACTGTTACCTTTAGCTTTTTGTTGGTGAATTGGAGACAAGAGTCTCATGGACTTTGCTCTTTGGGCTAGCTTTGAGCCACAATCCTATCTTTCCAACTTTGTTCTTATTCTCAGTATTATTCTGGCTACTTTTTGGTCTTTCTCCTAACTAAAGAAACTTTAGAACTGGTTTGACCACATCTACAAAATAGCTTGTTGGAATTTTGATTGGGATTTCATTGAGCTTATGGGGCACCTTGGGAAGAAGTCACCACTTACAAATGTTAAGTATTCTAATTCATGAACACAGTGTAATTAACTCTCCATTTATTTGCCTCTCTTGTGATTCTTTTCACCATCAGAATCTCTATTTCTCACAATCAGAATCTCCAGTAGGTTTGTATTTTTAATGTATTTATTATGTTTGTATTTAAGTACTTACTTCACATTTTGGGTGCTGTTGTAAATAGTACTCTTTGCTAACTGTCAGGTTCCACTTAATCATTTGGGGTATTGGGAAAGTGCATATTAATTTGCATTTATGACCCTGCTGGGGTTGCTTATTCATTCTAAAAGAGGTTGGTGTCCTTTTCCATGAATTCTTTGGTGCTTTTGACATAAATGATCTTGCCATCTGCAGACCAAAGTAATTTCATTTCTTCCTGCTCAGTGTCTCCTTTTCTTGTCTTTATGCACTAGCTGGGACCGCCAAGGTGAAGCTGACCAGAAGAGAGAGTATCCTTTCCTACGGGCAGATGTGTAGCAGGACTGTCTCACTGTTTTGTCCAGTGTATTTTGTGGTGGTCTTTAGCAAGTTGAGGAAAATGCCTTCTGCTCAATTTTGTCACATGTCTTTTGTGCATCAGAATATGACAGGGTTATATAACTTTTCTTCCTTAGCCTACTGATATGTTGAACCAGCTTTCATTCCTCTCATAGCATAAAACTCTTTTATGTTGTTGGTGTTGATTTACTATACTTCGTTGAAGAGTTCTGCAATCTATTCATGAGATACTAGTTATTCCCTTCTTTCTTTTCTCCCTTTCTCTTTTCCTTTTCCTTTCCCTTTTCCCCTCCCCTCCCCTCCCCTTCCCTCCCCTTCCTTTCATTTTCCTTTCCCTTCCCCTCGCCCCTTCCCTTCCCTTTCTGGTAGTGTGTACTGGGGCTTGACCTCAGGGCCTTGCACTTAATAGGCAGATGCTCTGCCACTCGAGCAACACCTCCAGCCCTTTTTGCTTTAGACTGTTTTTTTAGATAGGATCTTGTATTTGTTTTGCCCAGGTCAGCCTGGATTGCAGCCCTCCAGCCCACAGCCTCCTGTTTAGCTGCAAGCAGGTGCATGTTACCACAACCAGCCTATGGGCTAAGATGGGGTCTGGCCTTGAAGGGACATCATTCTCATTTCTGCCCTCCACAGAGTTGGGATTACAGTGTGAGCTGCCACACCCAGCTTTGGTTCGATTTTGTCATGGTGCAGTGCTGGCCTCGTGGACTGAGGAAGTGTTCCTCCTGTTGTGTTTTCTGGAACAGATTGTGGAGAATTGGTTGTATTTCCTCTATTAATGTTTGATGCAGTTCACTTGGACCCAGTGCCTTCTCTGTTAGAAGGTTATTAATTATTGATTCCGTTTATTTCACAGCTATAGGACTGCTCAGATGATGTATTTCCCCATGTACATGTTTTAGAAGTTGGTGTCTTCCAAGGAATTGGCCCATTTCATCTAAGCTGTCAAATAAAAAGGCAGAGAGTTACTCATAGTATTTCTTTATTATCTTTTTAATGCCCACAGGATCAATAGCAATGAGGCTTCTTTTATATCCAATATTGGTCATTTGTATTTTCTTTTTTTTTTATTTGCTGTTTTCTTCACTGGGAAGTGTTCTCAAAACACACATTGGAGCTCCTTTCCAGAGCCTCACTGCTTGGGCATCGAGGGCCCAGGCTTGTGCATGCTTTCTCTAGGACACCCGGGAGCCCCTCATGTATCTCACTGGGAGTCTGGGGATGGTGAAGCATCACGTCTGCAGCATTTTGATACTCGTTTTTAATTCTGTAGCCATGCACTCTCCAGCCATTTGTGAATGAATGCTTATCTGTGAGGCATGAAAATGCATCACTGTCCAATTGAGTTGGAAAAGGAGAGGAGGGACCAGAGGAGGACCTGCTTGGTCCTCACCAAGACACAGCCTCCTGGAAAGCACTGGGGTCTCAGGTTCCATCTCAGGTTTTCAGCCTGAGTGCTTTAGGATGGGACTCAGCATGCAGTACTGGTTTGATAAAGGCTGGCCACTCCTTTTCTCTGGCTGCTGCTCACTGTCTGTCACTCAGAAGTGTCCTGTGGACAGGTCTGTCCCCTCAACCTCTCCCCTGCTCAGTGTGGCCATTACTGGTGGGAATGCAAGTAGAAGTGAGATTCTCCCAGGCTGAGATGCTGGAGAGAGGGTCAGACCCTTCACTGCCGGGGTCCCGGGTCCTCTTCTGAATTGGACCTGCAGCATTTAAGCCCCAGGCTGTGCATCAGCCACCCACCCTCTAGAAGGGAGTTTGCACCAGGCTCTCAGCCCATCTTGAAAATCCAGATGCTCTGTGTTTGTGCTTTTGTGGCATGGTGGCCTGGGCCAGTTTCTCACTTTGCTTATCTGATTTCGGAAGGCTCTGCTCTGACCAACGGGGGCCTGAACCTGCAGAGCTCCGTGAAGAGGAAGCTGGAGGCGGAGAAGGACTATGTCTTTGACAAGAGGCTCAGGTACAGCGTCCGCCAGAATGAAAGCAACTGTCGCTTTCGCGACATTGTCGTGAGGAAGGAAGAGGGGTTCACGCACATCCTGCTGTCCAGCCAGACCTCGGATAACAACTCGCTGACGCCCGAGGTAGATGGAGGATGAGGGCTGGAGTGGGGGCGCGAGGGGGGGAATGGCCGTCAACCTCAAATCCTCTTCTGTCCTTGCATTCTCTTGTCAGTAATAGTCCCATACAGGGATGGTGAGCCACAGGCCATGGGACACAGCAAAGGGATGCGGGCTCCAGGGGGGAGGTGCTGTGTCCTTGAGCATTACCATTTACATAGACGATGGTTCTTTTCCTAGGATTGTGGGTGAGGCAGTCTGGGATGATTGGCAGGTCATGAGGGAGGGGCCACGGCTGATAGTTTAGAAGTCTGGGGAGCTGGGATTTCTTTTGCCCCTCCTTCAAGAGTGACGTTTAAGGGGACCCTCCTCCCCCAGCTTTCTCCGGAGGCTGTCAGGTGGAATGGGGGATTTGGAGGCGCTAAGCATGGGTTTTGCACGTGCTCACACACCTGGAAACCATGTTATTTTAAGCTCATCATGACACAGCCACACGAGGCTGATGCGTCTTGGGTTTTTTTTTTTTATTATTTTTTATTTTTATTTTATTTTATTTGTGAACATACTGTACAGAGGGGTTGCGTCTTGGGTTTTTTCCTACTTGACTACTTTTTTTTTTTTAAAGCATGCTTTAAAAAGGCACAGCATTTTCCTTCGGTAAACGGAGTGATGGTGACAATGTCTCCCCATTTGTTCTGCCTGTGTGGAGCACTCTGCATGGTAACTGTTATACCTACTCACTCCACGAAGCGGGTGGTTCTCCACTGGTGTGAGGTGTGCATGCTCCCTCCTCCCCTACCTCCTTCTCCTGCCAGCTGGGCCATGGTGGATGGGGGATTCCATGGCTGATCAGCCTCAGTCAGCTTCGGGATGGGAGGAAAAGAGAGAGTCATTGATCCAGTAGTCCCAGCTGTGTCAGCCCACGTGGACTGGCTGTGAGTGAGCTTACTGCCTGGGTAGGTGAGCCCCGAGAAATCCTGTAAGCTGGGCGCCAGTGGTTCATGCCTGTCATCCTAGCTACTCAGGAGGCTGAGATCTGAGGATCATGGTTCAAAGCCAGCCCAGGCAGGAAAGTCCATGAAACTCTTATCCAATAAACCACCAGAAAACCAGAAGTGACGCTGTAGCGCAAGTGTGGTAGAGTGCTTGCCTTGAGCTGAAGAGCTGAGGGACAGCGCCCAGGCCAAGCCCCACGACCGACCAAAAAAAAAAAAAAAAGAAAGAAAGACGTCCTGTAAATCAACAGACGGTGTTAAACTGCAGATGCAGATTCTGGAGCCTAGCAGACTTGGGTTTGGATCCCGCCCTCACCATCTCTGCCATTTCTGTTACCCTGGAAAGTTACTCTCCCTTCTCAGCTTCCTCAGGGAAACAGCTTGGCATTGCCTCTGAGATTAGAGTCCAAGCATGCAGAGCTCCCAGAGAGGCCGGCACATAGGAGGTAATCAATAAATGCTTCTGAGATTGCACCGTGGGGCCCACCTGCCTTGTTAATGGAGGAGAGGGAAGGGAACTCTTCCTGACTGAATTTCTCTTCCTGCTCATATGTGTGACATCGGTTGGATTGGCTGCACAAGCAGAATTCAGACATTAGTGGATGAACTAAACTAGATTCTGAGGCCAGTGGATATGTTGCGATAATTTCTCTTGTCTGGGGTATGGCTGAGAACTGGGAAATTACCAAAAATGTCCCTAAGGAAAGAGCCAGCAAATAGCAGGGGTATCAAATATGATTAAAAGCTTGTCTTCTTTGCCAGGAGAGGACCCTGAGCAGTGCCCCAGCTCTTGGCTCCTCCAGGGCCTTCAACCTCAGTTAATGTCATTATCGCACCCCTAGGGGCAGCCCAGCCATGTGAGGCCCCCATCCACCTTTAATTATATCCTCTCATCCAAGCCTGCAAAGCATATTAACTTTCTTTCTCTCTTCCTCCCCTCAGCGTCTGTTCCCTCCCTCCCTCCCTCCCTTTATCTCTCCCTTCCTCCTTCTTGTTTTTGGTACCGGGATTGAACTCAGAGCCTCACGCTTACTAAACAGGAGCTCTACCACTTGATCCATGCCTTAGACCTTTTATTTGTTTTTCAAATTATATTTTTATTATCTTTTATGTAGTTGGTTGCCATTCAACAAATGAGTTTCTAAGTTCAATGCATGTTCATCAATGTTACCCTGTCATCATTGTTCACAGCCCTCTCAACCCAAGGCTTTAGCACTTTGTTTCTTTTCCAGATAGTGTCTTTGGCTAACTTTATCCCAGCCAGTTTTGAACCATGATCCTCCAAGGTAGACCTTCGCTTCCGAAGTAGCAAAGTGTGTACCATCATGCTTAGCATCCTCCTCTCTGCTGTATTTACTTCCATTTTTATAAGAAGTACTGAAATCCATTTTATCCTGGGCCATTGTAATAACATGCTGATAACTCTGCCTGCCTTAACACTTCAAGTTCTCTGCTCAGTTCTTCACTCGGTAGTGAGAATGATGAGCTGGAAACAAGCTTTTTCAAGTTGCCCCTTTACACACACACACACACACACACACACACACACACACACGGATAATTTCTGATTGCTCAGAACCCTCCTCTGGCCTGTGAGACCAGCGCAGTTTGACCTCATTGTGGTATCTCACATCCCTCTGCTCTGCTGTCATTCTGGCTTTCCTTCGTGCTCACCTGGCACAAGACCATTGCATGTGCCCACACAACTAACCCGACCAGCTTCCCTCTCTTCTTGCATCGTTCGTTGATGCTCTTTCTTCAGGTCTCAGCTTGCCCATCACTCCAGGATGAAGTCTTCCCTTCCATCTCTCTCATACAAGCATCTTCCCTATAGAAACTCATAGTTACTCGTGTACATGTATTTTTGTGATACTTTATTCAAAATCTGATTCCCTCCCCCATCAGATGACATAGCCTGGGGGGATAAAAACTACACATTCTCTCAGTTCTGTAGTCATGAGTTATACTCCACCACATGGAGAGGTCTGAACCAGCTACTAGAAGGGATTTATAGGAGAGAAAAGTGCTATTTGAGCTTTTAAGGGATTATATTGGTTATCCTTTGCTGTGTAACAAATTGCCCTAGACTGAGCATATTCAAACATGTTCAAACAACAAGCATTGATTATTTTAGTCTCTGTGGGTCAGGAATAGGGGTGGGGCTTGGCTGGATACTCCCTGTTTAGGGTTTCCCACAGTAGAGCTGCTGGCTGGCCCCAGTCTCAGTGGGGGCTTTGCTGAGGGGTGGGGCGGGTTCTACTTCCAGGCTCACCAGTGGTGTTCGGCAGGCCTCAGTCCTCACTGGCTGTCGAATCACTTTCTAGCACATGGGCCTCAGGGCTACTTACACCTTGCAGCCAGCTTCCTCCAGAGCAACAGCTCCACAAAAGAGATGGCTAAGATAGCGCTGGGTCTCAGAAGTAACATCCCAGCCTGGCACAGTTACTCACACCTGTAACCCCAGCTACTCAAGAGGCAGAGATGGGTAGTTATGGCTTGAGAGGGGCCCTGTGAGCCTCAGTGTGGGCTGAGAGGATTTGGGGCTTAGGAGAGGAGTGTGCAGCCAGGCGGGGACTTGAGGGAGTTCCTCAGGAAAGCGATTGCTCTTGAGATGGGCCTGGCTGTCAGCCAGTTCAGATGAAGGCAGAGAGGACCGGCCTGGTTCCTTTCACACTGGGTTACCTAGGCCAAACTCTCTGCAGATTGGAAACTGGAAGATGTTCAGGGAGAGTCTCCCTGGCAGACGGTAACAGCAGGTGCAGCAGCAGCCGGGAAGTCTCTAACAAGGGCAATAAATGTAAAGGACACATTTAGGACTTGAAAATGCACAGCGATCTGTGGCCATTTGTTACTGTCACATGGAAGAGGCCTCTAAGGCAGAGGAGCTGTTGTAGGCCAGCAGGCAACAGTGGAGCACTAGGTCTCACGTGCCAGAATATTCTAGAACAAATGTGAAAGAGGGAAAGAGCGTGTAGTGGTTTCAGAACATTTTACCTTAAACACCTTACATGATAAAATTTGGGGTTCTTCAAGAAGATGGAACCTCAGCTATTTTTTCAGATTTAAAAAGCAAAGGGAAGGTGTATAATTTTTTTTCTTTCTTGATCCTTCTAATTGATTAACCAGTTAATTTTTGGAACAGTTGTGCGGTTTGAACACAGGTCTGTCTGCTTGTGAGGCAGGAGCTCTATCACTTGAGCCATGCCCCCAGCCCTTTTTGCTTTTGTGAACTTTTTCAGAAAAGGTCTCACTGTTGCTCAGAGCGTTGAACTTCAGCTCAGGGATTGCAGATATACACCATGACACTAAGTTTGTTGGTCTCGCTTTTTGCTTGGGCTGGTTTTGAACCTTGGTCCTCCCCACCTCTCATGTAGTTGGGATTATAGGCATGGGGGTCTCATACCTGGTCCTAAGTATAAATCTTAAATACGAAAAAATGTAATCTGTGCTTTAGTTATATCAAAACACAAATTTAGTTTTAATTCATGAAGGAGGTGGCTGTCTTGTCTGGCGATGTTTGTACTAAATGGCTAAGCCTGGCCTTGGTCAGGGGCTCCTCTCTAAGTCAGGCAGGGAATCACAGCTCATCTCTTTGTGGCTGGCTTTTCTTTATTTGCCTCTCAGAGCAACAGAGTTCATATATAGGTGAAAGTGTGTCTATTTCTGGAGGCAGATGGATTAAAGCATCCACAAGACAGTGGCCTGTTTGCTGTTTCTCGGTTGGGAATGTACTCTGTGCTTTGGACCCTGTCAGTGAGGAGTGTGCATCTTCTGCCACCCAGCAGAGCTCAGGCCTGGAGAGTCTCCAGATGAAGCACACCTGGCCCGCCTTCTCCACAGAAACAGGCCCATTGCTCTAAGTCCTCCTGCAGAACAAAATGGTAGAAGGTGAAGGGCTGTGGGCCTGGATTTGGAGCTGTTGGCTCCTCACTTGGTCACCAGTGCATCACTTGCAAGATTAGGGTCCTGCTGTGTACCTTGAAGGATCTTGCTTGGGATTTAAGGTGAGGAGCCAGTTACCTGCTGCAATCCTGGTATTCATTTAAAGTACTTCATAAGTGGGATTCTCTGAAAAGAATAATTCTCAGAATGTCTCCTTCAGCGCCCTACCGAATCATGAATAACAACCCTTGAAAGACTGTTTGCATACTGCCTCTCCTCGTAGACTCTAAGCTCTGCCCAGGTAGGCATTGTTTACTTTCTCCTTCCTTGGCTTCTGTTGGATCTTACGTGGAGATTTATTTCATCTTCTCATTCATCGTCATTAATGTGTTTTTAATTTGTGTTCACATAGCAAAATGTAAATGCAATCATCCCATCTACACCAGTCCAACGTAGATAACCTTTGTGTGCTCTTCTCTAAAGTCACCCCCCATCTTTCACAACACTGTCATGCATTTTATAGTTCCACCTTGCATAAAGCCACTCCTTCAAAGCAGTCATTGCCAGCTTCTTGATTCTATTAGTTGGTGGAGGCTTGTTTTGTCTAGTGATTTCAAAGGTTCTAGTCCCTGATCATGTTCTTGGGGGAACATCTTAGCAAGTAGTGTATGGTGGCATAGAGCTGCTTCATCTCATGGTGGCCAGGAAGCTGGGGTGGGATGGAGCAAGGAGGGGAAAAAGATGGGTGTGTGGAGAGGGAAGGGGGAGAGAAGGGGAAGGACTAGGGTTCCATGACCCCTTCAAGGGCTTAACTTCCTCCCTTTAAAAGGCCCTACCTCTTAAAGGTTCCCCCATCTCCCAGTAGCGCCACGACCAGCAACCAAGTCTTTTATTTAGCATATGAGCGTTTGGTATACACTTCAAATCCAGATTATATTTTGGATATATTGCAGTTTGGATATTATATATTCAATGATTATTTATAGTCAGATCTCACACTGATTTAACACCACAGTTTTCAGTTTCTTTGCTGAAGTCTGTTATTCCTTATATATCAGTTTTTTTCTTCTTCTTGAAGCACGTCCTTTTCAGTTATTTTTGTGAAAGGGGTAAATTTTATTGTGCTGAAAATACCAATTTTTACCCTCACCTTTGAGTTGTTATTTAGCCAGGTGAAAAATTTGACAGATACTTGAAATTTATTATCTATTGTCTATTTCTGGCATTTATATCTGCAGTTTTAGAACTATGGCTTCCAGGCAAATGTTTGTCCTTTCTGGTAAGCTTTCTTTTGCCCAAGAAAAAAAAATATATTTTTGGCGGGGGAGGGGGGGTAGCCCGGTCTTGGGGCCTGAACTCTGGGCCTGGGCGCTGTCCTTCAGCTCAAGGCTAGTGCTCTACCACTTGAGCCACAGCACCACTTCCAGCTTTTTTCTTTTTGCTTATTGGTGCTGAGGAATCAAACCCAGGGCCTCATGCATGCAAGACAAGCACTGTACAACTGAGCCACCTTCCCAGCCCCCTAAGAATATATGTAAAGTCTTGTTTTGTCTTTGCCATTGTGAAATTTTAAAGCGGTATATGCTGGCATTCATTTATTTCTTCCACTTAGCTTTTTGTGGTAGCTCTGGAGTTTCAGGTCTGTGTAATGTAGACCGATATCCCTTCTTCAAAGACCTCCATATCTGAATCCACACAGGCTAGGCATGTGTTAGCTTCCATGCCAGGAGGAATTAAGCTCATCCATGACCGTAAGATGAGGGGATAATTCTGCATCATCTACATGGTGCTGTCAGGGGTTCCTTAACAACAGAGCAGAGTGGAAGAGTCAGTGTTAGAGTGAAACAAAGTGTAAAGAGGGAATGACTCAGCTGACCACTGCTGGCTGTGAAGGTGGGGCCAGGAGCTAAGGAATGTAGGTATCTGTAGGAGCTCTAGAGGAAATAGCATTTCCCTGAAGGTCTCGGGATAGGAATGAAGCCCTGCTAGACCATTCTCTCCCTTTATCTCTTTAGCCATTGCCTTTTTGCCACTGTTGTGGCCTCCAGAGAAGGTTCAGCACCTGTTTTAAACCTTCTTGACTTTGGCCTGTCTCTACCCTCTCACTCATAGCTCCCATCTCTACTTCTCTGTTGTAGATTCAGGGCAGTTGCTTCAGACTTTTCAGTTCTCTTACTCTCCCTTTATCTCCACGTAATCTCAGCAGGTACCCAAGACCTTATCTTCTATTGTGAGAAGTCTTTCCCTCTTAAAATCTATTTCTCCCGTTCGCTCTCATTCTTTCTTTATCGCACACACGTGTCCTTTCTTCTCTTTCATTATTTGAATTTTTTATGTTATCATCTTTCTTAGATCAACATTATAATTATTAAAACCCTCCCACTAATTGAGTGTGCTGATTTATATTTCCTCAAGTGTTTGTGATTTTCAATTGTGAGCTCATCTGCAGCAGAGATTGTTTTCCCATGCAATTCTCATGCAGTCTAGGTTTCTGTTTCTCTCCAGAGTACTTTTCCATTCGTTTCAGGGAAATACCTCAGGGATATCACTAGCCCATGTCCAATTTCCATGTTAATTTTTTTTGTAACTTGGGGATTTCTCTCCTGTCTGGTATGATAACTTAGAACTTCAACTCCACGGAGAGAGCAGTTTGAAGTTCTCATGGGAAATTTTTCCTACAAGAAATTTGTCTGAGCAGCTCGTTTTGACTGTGGCGTAGGTGACAGGAGGATCGGAGGGGCTATGCGGTTAATCATCCAGTGGATTCCCATACAAGCTTTCTGAGTCTGCTTTTGCAGGCTCACCTTATTGCCATGTGTCACCCTGAATGTCCAAGTTCCCAAGAAATTGTGTAGACAGCAGGGACAGTGTCTGCTGCAAGGCTGCCGTTGGGAGTCGGGAGTGGAAGGGCTGTAAGGGGCCAGTTCACACTGTGTCCAGCCTTTGAGGTCCCGCAAAGTGCTTTGGCCTCTGCACTCAGTGTGTGTGTGTGGGCGGGAGGGCGGGCAGCCGAGTCCCTGATTCTATCACGACCTCCGCAGTCTTGGGAAGACTCTGCTTTTCCCTATGCACTACAGAGCTCATGCCCTGCTGCTCCTGTAGCTAGACTGTACTGTTCCGCTGAGAACCTTAGATCAAAGGCCGAGTGTCTTTGGGGCAGCAGCCTGGCCTGCACTGCAGCAGCCTGGCTAGTTCTCTTCTGAGATTGGGAAAAGACTTTCAGGAGTTAGTATACAATGAAATGAGCTGTTATTGAGTATTCACTGGATACCAGACACGGTGTTAGGCTCTACGAACAGAGGGAGGGATCAGAGAAGCATCTTTCTTGTCATTATTTGCATCACAGACCAGCACTGGTACAATGTCTCCTGTAGCCACATTAAGAAGAACAAGATGGCCTTTATCCAGAACTCACTGTACCTCCCAAGAATGTGAACCTGCCAAGGGCCATAAGCCATAGTGTCTTATGTCCTTGCATTTATTCTTTATGGTGATATCGCTGTGGGTGATTAGGCTCCCCACTAAACAGTGGCCGGTGTGTCTCAGGCTCCATGGCCAGTACACGACAGAGCCACAGTTCAGGCCAGATGCTTCTCACTGCAGCAGGACCTTAGCCCTGGCTCTGCTGCAATGCCAAGCCTACCTCTATAGGCCACATGCAAGCTATGCAAACGTCTCAGAGTGAGCAGTGGGAGAATTAAGCCGAGAAAGGACTGGCCAGTCTCACCTGGGCTGGGCACAGCACGGTTTCCCCACACCTTGGAAAAGGCTCAGCCAGCAAATGTTGGGAGAGGGTTTGCAGAGATTGACCAGGGCTAGGATGACTCCCAGACCTGAGCAACTACAGTTCTTTAGCCTGCATTGGGGATGGAGTGAGGAGGCTCTGGTTTTGATAAGGTTCTTTCTCTGTTCTAGACATGTGCTTGTTGCATTCAGGAGGCTCCCTACACAGGCAGAAACAGAGTAGCCCTCTCCCTCTCTTGCTCTTCGGGGATCAGGCCTCGAGCTGACTTTCAGGATAGACACTAAAATCCCTGCAAATGCATTTCTACCTGCAGATCATGAAGGAGGTGCGGCGAGCACTGTGCAATGCAGCCACAGACGACAGCAAGCTGCTGCTCCTGAGCGCGGTGGGCAGCGTGTTCTGCAGCGGCCTGGACTATTCCTACCTGATCGGCCGGCTGTCCAGTGACCGGCGGAAGGAGAGCACTCGCATTGCAGAAGCCATCAGGTGAGCTTTGGGGTTCTGTCTGGGCTCACCAGAATTAGGAAATAAAAATACAAGCTGTCAAATTAAGCATGAATTTCAGACTTGGCACGGAGGCGATGCCAGGTTGTTTTGCGTGTGGAGTTCTGAGTCCCTCTCCACGGTGAAGCCCTGCTCCAAAGTACTCACCTGCTTCCCACTGCAGAATTCTTTCCAGAAGGTGCATGAGAAGCTGGGTGCAGTTAAACCCCACCCCTTGCCTTACCTCCCAAAGGTATTGGGAGCCTGTAATGATGACCTTATTTCATAATAAAGGTCTGTGCAAATGTAATGAAGTTAGTAATTTGAAATGAGATCATCCTGGATTAGAGTGAACACCAAACCCGGAGAGAACTGCCCTATGAGAGCAGAAGAGAAGGACCTTGCATGTAATCCTAGCCTCTCAGGGGAGAGGTAGAGCTTGAGAGTCTGGTTGATGCTACAAGTCCCTCCCCAGGTATATTTATGTATTTATGGGGCTGAGAAATCTCTTGTGAAAGAAGTTTGTTCTTGACCGGGCGCTGGTGGCTCACGCCTGTAATCCTAGCTACTCAGGAGGCTGAGATCTGAGGATCGCGGTTCAAAGCCAGCCTGGGCAGGAAAGACCGTGAGACTCCTATCTCCAATAAACCACCACAAAACCGGAAGTGGCGCTGTAGCTCAAGTGGTAGAGCGCTCGCCTTGAGCTAAAGAGCTGAGGGACAGTACTCAGGCCCAGAGTTCAAGCCCCACGACTGACAAAAAAAAAGAAGTTTGTTCTTAATCCAACAGAACTGGGTGGACGTAGCATGTTCTTGATCTCACATAGCCTATGGATGCCTCTTGCTCTCTTAAGAGCTCTTCAGGGATGAGCACCTGGCCTGGTGCTCCTGCCCAGTCTTTGTCATTGCTTAAAGAGGGCACACACAGGACTGGGCCCTGACTCCCTCTGCATATGCTGGATGAGTAGATGGGGTGGGGGGTGGAGGGGCACAGATGACTCATCCACCAGCAGTCTCCTGGACGCAGGACCGTTGTGAGAGGAAGAGAGATGTGCACGCCTGCCCTCAGCACAGTGCCATGATGGCTTGTTCAGGAAGGCGGGGAGGGCTAGCTGCACCTGAGCTCAGCGGCCACCTGAGCTCAACACCCACCTCCATGCTCATTCGTGGTGCAGCTCTGAGCTTATCATCTTGTCAAGCCTATTGCATTTTCCAGAAAACAAAAGCCATCAAAATTATAGGCCTGGCCTCCCTGGTGGATTGCTAGGATAAAGAGCAGCCAGATACCCATCCTAGCCTATTTCTGGCACATGCTAAGCACTTACAATAGGTGTAAAGAATGATTACCGTTACTGTGACAGCTGCTACTTCCAGCGCCAGAGTTGTAGTTAAGCTCAGTCTGACTATGGTGTGGCCTCCTGGAGACTCCTCGGGGGCCCTGGGGTGATGATCACAGTGTGCACTTGGTGCTCGCAGGCTGCTGTGTGGCTGTGAGAGTTGGCCCGGGAGGACTTTCTTCTATGGCTCTGGTTCAGTGGAACAATTGCCCTAGGTGACATGGGACATCAGCACCATCAGAGACTTGCTCTGCGTCTTCAGGAGCCTCTGTGAATGATCACGGACCACCGTGACATACATGTGTACAACCCACACTGATGGAGTCCAATTGCTACTCCCTGGACATCAGGAACTGTGCTGGTGGCCTGCGTGGATAGTGTCATGGACAGTATCACGTGGTTTCACGCAGCCCCGTGAGGAGTGGCATGAGCATTTCCATGTTACAGAGGGAGAAATTGAGGTTCTAGAGGTGGGGCAGCTTTTCCAAGGTCTGACCACTGTTGAGGACCCCAAATCTGTCAGATTCTCCAGTTCCTGTCCTTTCTGCCGGCAGCAGCATCTTGGTCAGGCAGGAGCCATAGAGGGCTTAGGTTGTATGGAAGAAACTGTGAAAGCCACTGTCCCCCTGATGGCCTTGGGTGCTGGGGAAGGTGGCGTACAGTCCCGTCCTCCCCCTTCCCCCGCCAGACAGTGCTCTCAGATCAGGTATCTGAGCCACAGGTCTGTAATGCAATATCCTGTTTGCCTCCAACGTCCATGGGGCCTTGTGATACAGATCTGCTGCCTGAGGTGAGAGAGAAAGGCTTGCGCGGGTGGGGGGGGCGGTGTTCATATCACATTTTTATATGAAGGAAATGAAATGAGGAGCAGGTTGGAATGAAACAGGAGCGGCTGGGGATGGGGGTGGCGCTCTGCATGGTCACGCTGCTCTTCTAAGGTTCTTGTTGTCCTTATATAGCGTTTATTTAGTTTGGAAACCAGAGTGAAAGCTCTGAGGTCCTGAAGAGGGTCAGGCCTGCAGTTGATTCTGGAAAAACATGAGGCCCACCCGAGACCTCCAATGGCAAGGCTGATGGAGAAACTAGGGGCTCTGGTACTGGAGAGGTGACAAAGGCAGGCGATCCATTCTCAGTCTGGCATGGAGGAATTCTGTACTGAGTGGAAGATTTAGCTTGATCAGTCTGTCTTTCCCAAGCCCGAAGTCTTAAGATTCTGAAATTACATGAAGGCACTCAGAAAGGGATCTCTGATGAAAATCACCCAAAGCTCGGGGTTTCAAGGACTTACCAATAAGCCCCACGTCCCCTACAGATTCCAGATTGCATTCGTTAAAAATAAAATATAAGCCAGTGATCATCACACATCCTAAATCCTAAGGAGAAAGCCACTAAAGCCAGGAGAAAGCTACTAAAAACCAGGAGTGATGGCCATGGGACCAAGACTTGCATTTTGTGTTTTTCTGTTTTGTTTTTTGGTCTTTTGCGGGGGTGGGGGAGGAGGGGAGAGATAGTGAGGCCAGCCATAACCAAAGTGCTTCTACCTTCTCAAGCAGCATGATGTTGCAAGCCTAAGTCAAAGCCGCATACTTTCATGATGACTTTATAGAGAATGCAGAAGAATGTAAAGTAGTCTTTTCATAGCTGTCTCAGGTCCTACCAAATCATGATGGTACCTGTATCTTTTCAAAATGGTTAGAAGGAGGAGCACTGTCAACTGAGAAAGGGGTAAGTCAGCAGGATATTTGTATTAGTTAAGTATTAGCTGCTTTAACAAATCCCAAATAATATGGAATGGCTCAACTGTGATAATAATTTACTACTTGCATATAGAAATCTAAACCAGATCTCACCAGTCAGCTCCTGGCTCTCCTCCAAACCATGATTTATGAACCCAGGTCTTTCTATCCTATGGCTCCACCAAGGTCTTCCAAGACTTCTGTGTTCATCTGCGTGACTTAGCTTGGAGGACTTCGTATGTACATGTAAAAACTGCACATGACTCCTGCTCCTGCTCTGCTGGCTAGTATCTGGTGACTTGACCATAGCCACCTGTAAGAAAGGCTAGGAAATGTGGTCCTTCAGTAACGTCAATAATAAGAAGGGAGGGAGAGAAAACAGCTTTGGCGAAGTGCTGGTCTATACTTGCTCCAACAAACTCTCCTTCAGGGACATGTGTATTTCTTTAGTAGCTGCTTACTGAGTGCCAATTTCAATATCGGTGGAAGCCAAACAATGCCTCATGTAGATCTGTGGTTGTCCCTAAGGTGTTAAAGGACTCAAAGATAAGGAAGTAAGAAAATCATTAGCAGGGTAATTTCAAACCATGGTATTGATTGTAAGACCTCTCAGAAGCCTTCTTGGCCCTGTTCAGTGAGCAGCAGGATCAAGAATGACATGAGCCAAGGAAGATCAGGGTCATGAGCATTTGGATTTTATCCTTGTCAGTACTTGGTAGCTGTCAACCTTCCATCGGAGAATAATGAAGAATTCTGGCTTTACTACATACCTTGAATCTTTTCTCCACCTCCAGATGAATATTAAAATTTTATAGATATTATCTAGCAACTAAGAGAAAGGCAAATGGGATTGTGGCAGGTGGCTCTGCTTCGTAAGTGCAGATGCATGCTGTAAGCTTGCTCGGTACAGACAGGCAGGGCTAGGAAAGGCTGATCCAGCCATGACGGCAGAAGTCAAATGCCATTGGAAACCAAGCATCCTTCCTCAGTTTTAGACAAAGCCATTCTAATACTACACCCTCCATGACTCAGTATCCCTGTGGATTATTCAGAATCAGATCATTCCTGATTGAAGGAAATCATAGATGTCATCAAGTTCCAACTCCTGTCTAGTCAGCATCGCCAAATGTGATCATGAATCCCAAAGTACAAGTCCTGCAATGAGGAATTTCTGCCTCTTAAAGCTATCTCATTCCTTGGGCCAGTGGTGGTAGAACATTCTTTGTCTCTTGGAGTTGCAATTTGCCTCTTTGGAATACCTTCCTCTGGTTCTGCTCCCAAACCATAACATTCTGGTCATCTTCCTTCAATGTGTACAACTTTGTCAGTATCTGGGGTGTCCACGTAATTCACTGTTCTAGTCATGGCTCTCAAGAGTGGGAGCAGGTGATGGAAACTGAGAGTAGCTCGGAGATATCAGGCATGAACTGGCTGACAGGGATGCATATGCACCCTTGTCAGTCCCCTGTGAGAAATCACGCAGCCTGGTGGCTCTGTGTCTGGGTGAGTAAGGCTCTTGCCTGTCCCTGCTCACCTCTGATGACCAGAATGTGCATCGTAGTGCGTGGGAGAATTATGGGGCTCTGGGGGCTTGACGACCGCAGGCATCTGTTAAAGAGGGACTTCTCTCTCGTCCAGGGACTTCGTGAAGGCCTTTATCCAGTTTAAGAAGCCCATTGTGGTAGCCATCAACGGGCCAGCACTGGGCCTGGGAGCCTCCATCCTGCCCCTCTGTGACATCGTGTGGGCCAGTGAGAAGGCCTGGTTCCAGACACCCTATGCCACCATCCGCCTCACGCCAGCCGGCTGCTCCTCCTACACCTTCCCCCAGATCCTGGGCGTGGCACTGGTAAGCATCCTCTTTCCCTAGCAGCCTCCCTCCGCAGGGTGTGTGCTCTTGGCTCCTTATAGGATCCTTCTTCCATTGTGGCTTCTTATTGATGAAATGCAGGTTCCTGTCCACCTGCAGAATCTTCAGCTTCCTCTGCCACTCCAGAAGAGCCAAAACTGAGTTTGGTTTGGTCTTGGGGCCTCCAAGGTATCTGCCTCTGGGAACAGCAGAACTGGGAGGAGGATGATGAGGTCCACTCACTGCGCACCTACTCTGTGCCACAAAACTGTACATGTATTACCTTATTCCTCACAGTAACTCAGTAGGACTGTGTACGATAACCCCAAACACACAGTCCTTCTGTCTAAATGGTTGCTGTCTCACCCCTGCGCCCCTGTCTGCACCCCTAGCAGAGGAAGAAGACAGAGAGATCTTACCCAGGAGATCTTCGTAGGTTGGGCCTGCAGGGGACATCTTCTTTTCCATCACTGGCCATGACATCATCGTGTGGCCGCTCCAGTTGGTAGGGGAGGTGGGAAGCATGGTTTAGCTGCACACCTGGCAAGAGAAGGGAAAGGACTGTGCTGATCACACAGTAGACTCCATGCTGCAGATTCTTCCATTAAGATTGCCACGCCATGTCTCTGGGTGGGTCAGTGGGGCTGGTGTCCAATCACAGCACTAGGGTCAGGAACTGCTGTCACAGTGGAGAGCACTCACTGTGTGCCGGGGCTGGGCATGGCCCGGGAGGAAGGCAGTTGGATAGACATGGAAAAGGAGTCAGATTGAGCAGAGAGTGAGCTGGGCAGGGCTTGGAATGAAGGTCGGTGAGCATTCAGTGAGAATGGATGAGAGGGAGCCAGGCATGAGGCACAAAGCTAGGCAGGCAGTCCCCCAGGAGCGGTCTGCCCAGGGACTGACATGCCACCCCCCAGCAGTCCCCCGAGCTCATCAGAGACCCCCTCAAAGCTGCCAAAGCTCAGCCGAGACGACACGCCCAAAGGCTGTACTGACTCCACAGCCCCGGAGAGTGACGTCCGCCCTTCCACGGTGGCATATGTCTGTTGTGAATTTTTCTTTCTTTGGAAAGGACTCCAGGGTTTCTGACGACTTTTCCACCCTACTGAAAGGAAATGGTGCCTCTACCCTGATTCTTGATTGTCTGTCAGCAGCCACCCATTTCGTAACCATGATGACTCCCATCCATCTAGGCGCTCTGAAATCTCCTTAGGGAGGGCTTTATAGTTCTAATTTCTTCCTTCTGTCCTTTTACATTTCTACCTGTCATTGGGTTCATCTTCCTTCATCACATCAATACCCTGGACCCAGACCATAGTATAGACCATGAGTCTGGCCTCCAGATGTGGGAGAGGTACCGGGCCTAGGCACACAAGGCTATAGGAAATACCTGGCTCCTTTAAGAATTTAACACATGCCATCACACATGTCCACGTGTAGTTCACCCAGCATTCTAACCTTACGTTGTGAGACAGCTCCTCACAGGAGTCTTCCCTGAGAAGCTCAGCCCACCCCTGCCTTTGCTCTTTCAGGCCAACGAGATGTTGTTCTGTGGGCGGAAGCTCACAGCCCAGGAGGCCTGCAGCAGAGGCCTGGTGTCCCAGGTCTTCTGGCCCACCACCTTCAGCCAGGAGGTCATGCTGCGGGTCAAGGAGATGGCCTCCTGCAGTGCCGTGGTGAGTTCCTGCCCCCTGTATGCCCGTTCCCTTTATAGATGAAGAAGCCACCAGGCACGAGGGACTGACGTTCCAGATGCCATAGACAAGGGAGGTGAGAGATTAAGTCAGCAGGCGTTGCTGAGCATTGTTCCAGATCCTCTGTGCCCCGTCAAAGAGATTCCATAATCTGGGGTAGTGTGTGCTGCTTTAAGAGAAAGTCCTGCGCCCCCTCCCAAAGCACCAAACACTTCAGCTTTCAGAGAGAGGAGAAACCCCGGCAAATACAGGACAGAGTGTGGGACAGCTCACAGTGACTAGCCCAGAACACAGTGACGCCACACTTCGTCTCTTCTGTCCACCGAGTGCCTGGCATGTCTAAACTCCACCATTTGACGCTGAAGAAGCATTGAAAAACAGAGAAATAGCACCTCTGCAGAGGCGCCAGTTGCTAATTAAGTGTTGATTTTATCTCACGACAGTAACCGAGTATAGGAGGGGATGATTCTTGCTGTAGCTGGTGTGTTACAGGCCACTATGCTCAGCTGAGAATGAGCATCCTGTTGAGAGAAGGCATCTCAGGAACTCTTCTGCCTGTGCTGGCTGGAACCATGACTCAAGTAGCTAGGGTTATAGACATGAGCCACTGGTGCCCAGCTATTACTGAGAATATTACTCATTCTATGATTATTACATTGTTATACTGTAGATGCAGCACTGCGATCACTCAGTACTGTGATGATTACTACCTTACTAATACTCAGTACTATAGTGAGTACTACAATGATCCCTCACCTATCTTGGGAGTTATGCTCCAGAGACCCATGTGATAGGTGAAAATCCCCCAAGTAGCAGCATTATATAGTCGCCCCTCACTTATTGCTACTTCACAGATTTTCACCTGTCATGGGGGATCTCTAGAACGTAGCTCCCACAATAGGTGAGGGATCACTATTTCTGTATTTCTTTTTAAAAACCTGTGATACAGCAAAGCCACACTAAGTGAACTGCGATATAGCAAGGGACGGTGGTACCATTATTACCACTCATTGCTACTCTTATGATCATTGCTGTGATTGCTGTGGTATTATTCATTCCTCTGATTAGTACTGTGCTGCCATGATTATTACTGATCGATGCAACTTTTGTGTATTCTGGCAATTATGATGATGATAATTGCTACAGTTATTATCACTCATTAGTACAATGATTACTACTACTCTTACTACTAAAAGGGCCATTGCTGTCGGGGTGGGTTATGTGGATGCTTTGACAACCATGAGTTCATTTCATCACCTCACCCTGGGTTCCCAGTGACCCTGAGTTAGGTGCCATTGTCCCTGACACATTGTGAAAATGTCTTAAACTCTCCTAGCGTCCACAGCAAATGGCACTATGGTGATGTCACTCTTGGGTAAAAGGCGACACTCTTGTGGCCTACGGTACCATAATTTCCCCACCTTCCCTTCAGTCATCCTGGGGATGGAGGGCTCACTCTCTTGACCACTGGAAGCTATTCAACCACTGCTGGAACCCAGAACCAGCTAGCCCAGGCCATGGTTGGTGAACCTCTCCATCTGAGGCAGAGCAAGGTCTCACAGGCCAGCACATAGTCCCAGGGCCAGCTAACCAAGCTTCTCGGTTCCCTTCCAGGTGTTAGAGGAGTCCAAATGCCTGGTCCGGAGCTTCCTGAAGTCAGTACTGGAAGATGTGAATGAGAAGGAGTGCCTCATGCTCAAGCAGCTCTGGAGCTCCTCTAAAGGCCTGGATTCCCTGTTCAGCTACCTGCAGGACAAAATCTACGAGGTCTAAAGAGCCCTAGCTCACCTGCCCCCGCGTTCATGGGCACCTGACTTCCAGCTTGGCCCTGTGTTCTGGCCGTTGGAGCCCAGGGTCTGCCCCTGCCAAGAGTTCATCAGGGTGTCTCTTTACACCTAGGGTTGTGTCCATTCCTGTGTTTGGTTGTTCCTCATTGGTTTGCTTTCGTTTTACAAGGAAGCGCAGCACACCTGACCTCCCCACCCGCTGCCCCAATTTGCCACAGAGCTGTCGAGGGCTACATCTTCCCAAGGCTCTGTTGGGTTCTGCTGTCCTTTCCCTATTTGCTGGAATGCACCGCCATGGTCCACGGGGGGAAGACCACTCTCCCTTGTCCTGACTCAGGCTGTGTCTACACAGTGCCTCTGATTTAGAGGCCACCATAGTTCTCTGGTTCAGTGCAGATTTGTGGCCGGGGGTTGACTGTCTTAGGGAATTCTCAGACCAGTGAGCAAGCCACTGTGTAGACCCGGCCTCAGTCTCCTCTCCAGTGCAATTCTGTGTGACTATTAGGGCTTTGGTCTTAAAACCGAACTGAGCGATTCACAAACCCAGATATTGTACATTTAGAAATGTTTTGTTAAATATATATTTTTAAAACAATGTACGTGGAAATTCTGATAATTTATGTGTATTATATGTAAAGCTAGTTTTGCAAAATGTGAACTACTAGGAAATTTTTTTTCTTTATTTGGGCTTATTTATTTATTTTTGTTTATATATTATGATGTCTGATGCTCACACAGATCTTATTTTCATATTGCCCTGGACCAAATACCATTCAAAGTTGATGTCATTTGGTGTACTCTAGCAATGAACCACATAGAAAGATAATTCAGACAGATGAGAACAGAAGGATTTCTGCATCAGGCCCTCTTGTGTAGCTGTCATGTCCTAATACCAGTTCTGCAGTTTTGTTCTTAGGAGAAATCCTGGTGGAGTCTTCTTCTCACTTGCTGTCTTTAAGGAGGCAAAGGTTTCTGCCAGCCTGCGTGGTCCCGGAGCACACCCAGTCCCTAACTGTGTGCCACGGGGAGGAGGAGGGGAGGCCCTGCTGGGGATGGTGTATTTCCCAGAATGCGACGCTGACTGAACTTGGGTTGTAGAGACCGTCTCCCTTCTGCAGAAATTCAGTGATTTCTGATTTTTGCCTTCCAGGGAGGTGGGAAAGAAATTGATACCTCTTTGTTTCTAGCTGTTCACTTACTTAAAAGAGCAGCAGCCAGGAGGAGGTACCTTTGCCCCAGTGCCCCTGGGCAGCAAGAGGTCTCCAGCATCTGCACGCGGACCATCCGCCTAAAGTCTCTGGATCTGCGGCAAGAGGGAGGCGCTCGTTTGGGGTTTGTTTTTGGTTTGCGGTTTGGGTCGGTGAAGAGCGGTATGAGCACTGAGGCTGGAGCAGCTCTGCACCAGTTGAAAATTCTTAGGGAGATGGGATTTTTCATTTTTAGTCACAACCTCAAGTATTTCTTTGTTCTCTCTCTCCTTTTCCTCTGAGTTGCCAGCCTTTGCTTGGCTCTTTCTTGGAACCCTGAGTGTGGCAGAAAGAGTTGGGCACAGCTGGCAGAGAGGAAGCTGGTTGGCTACAAAGAGGAAGAGCCAGGGGGAGCTTTCTCTGCCTCCTGTGGTCCTTTGGTCTTTTTCCTTTTCTTACAAGTGGCTAGGTGCTCCAGGCAGCATAGGTAGAGGGGTTGCATGGTCCCGGGCTTTGAGTTCACAGCTGAATGTCTACCCTAGAGCAAGAGATACGGCCCTTGAAACAGTGGCTCTCACGGATATCAAGCCTCCTGGCTCTTAAGATGACCTTTTCTTCACCAGAAAACCTTTTCAGTCCAGGGAAGAGGAAGTTCCCTGCCATTCTCCTCCAGCCTGTGCCATTTTGAGGGCCAGAAGAGACAACCTCCTTGGCTATGTTCAGCCAGAGGAAGTTGGGATTGAAGTCATGCCTAGCTCCCTTGTCGAATCCCATAGGAGCCGTGTACCTGGAGCATAGGAATGAGCACTGGGAAATGCTTGCTTCTGCCCCAGTTGCCTGAGTGAGTCTCATGATTGCTGCCCCCCAAGCCCTTAGGTAAACTTCATTCTTGTATGTGTGGCAGAGACTCATTGCTGTTGCTGTATCTCATCTCCGCTGTTTAGCGTCGGATGAGGGTGGTGCTTGTGTTCGACGTCTAAAGAATCCCACTGAAAATGGAAAGGGAATGTTTTGAATTTTCTTTTTTATCAGTCTGTACCTTTGTTTTCTGCTGAAAGAAGCAGAAGTGTTTAAGCTTTGGGCATATAATGTCTATGGTAGCTGTGTGAACTCCTCTTTAAGGTAGAATTCATGCTGGTAATTTTTAGGTTCTGGGTGCAATTGGATTTTTATTTTAAAGACTCTTTCATTTTGGTTGTTTGTATAAAGTCAATTCAATAGGAGAGTTCTACCAACAGAAAAAGTTAGTAAATGTGATTGCTCCAGGTTAGACGAGACCGTTATAATTTTTATTTTTCAAATAGTTGTTTGGGCAACATGTACCAGATCTAAGGTTGTGTCAAAGGATAGCTTTCTCATGATAGGACTCAGACTTGTTTTTAATCTTACACCCCCGTGTCTTTTCTCCACCCCTAGAGTGCTTTCTCTCTTTCTTTCCTTTCCCCTGCTCCCTCCACCCTTGCTGGGGCTTGGAAGGATCTTTGAGGAGTTGTGGTTGGATTTAGCAATCCCATCTCAGAATTCCTTGTGGAATTCCTAAGTAAGCAGCTATGGTGGGAAGTTGGGAGGACCTCTATTTACCAAGGACCCCAGCAAACCACCATCTCCATTTCTTTGCCGCCCTTGGAACTTTCCTTCCTGCTCTGTCTCAGTGCTCATGATCTCTCTCATAATTTTGTCATGGAGCCATTGGAGTGAAAGCCTTGTTCCAGAGGACTTTTTTCTTTTGCATAGTTTTTGTCGAGATGCTCAGACATTCTCATCAATTGGAAGCCAGAGCCTAATGTGGAGGTCATATTCGCGTGTCCCTTCCTGCTTAGAAATAATGTCTGTGCATAAAAACCAAGTTGTTGGGTTTTTGTTTTTGTTTTTTGCTAAGAATGAAATTTGATAACTATGAGGAAGAAGGAAGTAGAGAACTAATGTAAACGTTGTCTTGTTGTTTGGTGTAGATTAAACTAGGAAATGTTCTCTCCAAAGCATGAAAATACATTTTCCCCACGTGAAGTTTAGTATGAAGATGGGAAAGTAGTAATCACAATAGACTTTGAACAATGCAACCCTATCTCTGAATAGCCACATTTAAAAATAGCCTTGACCGAACGCTGAATTGCATTTCCCATTATTAACTGTTGGTTTTAAAACTAAAAAAAAAAGACACTTTTTAAAAGTTTGTAAACTTTTTTAATTTGGAATTTAGTCACATTCATGCAGTTTTTCAATCTAGTTTCTGTAGAAAATTTTTTTAACAAAGAGAAATAGAAACATCTGCAGATCTTCCTAAGTAAATAGTTAAGATGCAGAATTGCGTCTCTAATGTGTTTCTGTATTTAGATATTTAGATCTGTTGTATATATTAGTCAAGATACTCTCGCTAATATACACAGTATTTAAGACTCAAAATGAGATTTCTTAAGTATTTTATTTTATTCTCTGTAAATGGTTTTGTAAAATCTTTAAAAAAATCTACACTTTGCCTTTGTAGATACATCTTTGGGGTTTGTCTTGCATGTCTACTTTTGTTGTAGATAAGTGTTATTTAGTTCTTTCTGCAAATTTGGGTTAAAATGCTTACAGACTTTAATACAGTATATATTTTCAGAATATAAACTTTTATATTTCCGTGGTAAGTTAAGATATGCGTTTTAGGCAATCTTTTCCATTAATATCATTTGTTCTTTTTAAAAATAGCATACTGGTTTGGTGCCAATGTGTTTTTTTTTAAACATAATGCTCTTATATTGTTAGAGAGCAGAGGTTAATTTTCTTTTTTTTTTTTTAAAGAAATTATTGGGTTTGAAGTATCATTTGAAAATGTACTGAATTTGTGAATAAGCCTTACCATTAGGATCAGTTAAACTTTCCAACTTTTGCAACTACGTGTAGAGTTTAAGGTCGTCTCATAAGTTCTCATTGTGTGGCTATTGAAGGAGTTTGGGAACAGAGCCTTAAGCTTGTTGCAAATATATAGATATATATATTAACAAATAGGGTAATACGGGTTGTTTCCTCCATGTAACCATGTTAATGGGCTCAGTGCAGTCTGTAATTCATGGCTAATCTGAAGAGTGTGGTTTAATTGATGGTGGCAGGGACCAGGTAGATTCCTTAGTGATGGTCTTTAGCCCTCCGATTGGACCAGGGACAGGTTTTCTAGAGCCACTTCCGTACTATCGCATAGTTCAGACACGGTCATGAGGAGGAATGCTGGTTCATCATTTGTTTTGAACAAATGGTATTTCCTGCTTCTGACCCAGGTGGTGGACCGCAGGTTCCTTGTGGATGACCTGGAAATGTCCATTCTGGCTGAGCTCAGCACTCCTTGAGAGATGTTAACAAAGTTTACATATGAGTCTTACTGTGTAGACAATCTGAAGTCAATTTTCGTTCCACAATCAGCATTCCACGTGTTCTCTGTGTCTCTGTGTGTCAAGCCATACGAAGGTGGAATGGAGCAGGATGAAGGCAGACTAGATGCAGAACAGGAACACCAGCTGTGTCAGTCTCTTCGGGCTGAGACAGTACAGTCATGAAATTTATCAGCGATGTGTTCTCTGTGTCTGGGATCTCATAAAACCAATTAAGATTCACATTTATTTTTATTTAAATATGATTCCTTTTGGTTGGCCATACTCCAGTAGTCATCCATTGAATATTCTCACCAACACTTTAAGTAGGAGCTTTAGTCCAGGGCTATAGTGTAGCTGAAGCCATATGGTCCACCTCTAGTAAGTTTTCATTGTCACTTTATCACCCATTTGCATGAAGATTTGCTGATTTGCTTCCCATTTCTTCAGTGTGTGTGTTTGTGTGTACGTGTGTACGTGTGTGTGTGTGTGTGTGTGTGTGAGTGAGAGAGAGAGAGAGAGAAAGAACCAAAGTCTGATGTTAAACTTCTTCTCTGATGTCTCTCTGGTTTGACCTCAACTTGGTGGCCCGATGCCTCTCTTGATCCTGGACCTCATTATGTTGATTTTGGATAGTTTAGAGATACAGGCTTTTCCACCTAGTATTTATTTTGTCCCTGTGCCATTAGTCCCAACTTGAAGTCATTTGCCAATGTCTGTGTTGACAGGATTGTGAAAATAATTGCCTTTCATAAAACCAAGGACCAAAGAATTCCATTATTCCAACAAAACTTAAGTTATCGTAGCTTATAGGCACATCTGGACAGATGGTACAGAGAAACCACTCAGTTTCCCCCAATCTCCTGCTCCCCCTGTCTGGCCATACTGAGAGGATTGTTGTCACATAGAGAAGGCTCTGAAAGAGGAGTTTCTAAGGTTGGAACTCAGTATCTCAGGTGGATGTTTTCTGCTGTGTAGTCCTGTGTCTTTATTCATATCATAAGTAGTGGAAGTCTGGCATTTCCCCGGGTTATGTGACCAGTGTAGACTCATCCATTTGCAT